AAAATAAACCATCATTAGAGTGAATCGGCAACCAACAGAATGGGAAAACGTTTTGCAATCTACCCATCTGACAAAGGGCTAATATCCAGAATCTACAAAGAACTAAAACAGATATACAAGAAAAAACAAACAACCCCATTCAAAATTGGGTGAAGGATATGAACAGACACTTTTCAAAAGAAGACATATATGAGGCCAACAAACATATGAAAAAATGCTCATCACTGGTCATTAGAGAAATGCAAATCAAAACCACACTGAGATATCATCTCACGCCATTTAGAATGGCAATCATTAAAAACTGGAGACAACAGACGCTGGAGAGGATGTGGAGAAATAGGAACACTCTTACACAGTTGGTGGGAGGTGTAAATTAGTTCAACCATTGTGGAAGACAGTGTGGCAATTTCTCAAGGATCTAGAAATAGAAATTCCATTTGACCCAGCAATCTCACTACTGGTTATATACCCAAAGAACTATAAATCATTCTACTATAAAGACAATGAACACATATGTTCATTGCAGCCCTGTGTACAAAAGCAAAGATGTAGAACCAACCCAAATGCCCATCAATGATAGACTGGACAAAGAAAATGTTGTACATATACACCGTGGAATACTACACAGCCATAAAAAATGAAGAGTTCGTGTCCTTGGTAGGGACTTGGATGAATCTGGAAACCATCATTCTCAGCAAACTGACCCAAAAACAGAAAGCCAAGCACCATATATTCTCACTCATAGGTGGGTGTTGAACAATGAGAAAACATGGACTCAGGGAGAGGAGCATCGCACACAGGGGACAGTTAGGGGGGTAGGGGAGAGACAACGGGGGGTGGGGAGGGATAACATGGGGAGAAATGCCAGATATAGTATGCACTTAAAGTAAAATAAAATAAAAAAGAAAAAAAATGTAAACTCTAGGGCTCAACTAAAAAGCAAGACTCAATTATATGCTGCCTATAAGAAATGTACTTTACATGTAAAGATACTAATTGATTAAAAAGTTGGATGGGCTAATGTCAACACTTGACAGAAGAAAGCTGAGCAGGAGTGGCTGTGTATTACCAAAGTAGACTTTACAACAAAAAATAGTCCCCACAATAAACAAGGTCATATCACAAAGATAAAAGGCTCAATTAGTCAAGAAGACACAAATATGCTAAATGTTTATGCCCTGAATAACATAACAGCTTCAAAATAGATGAGGCAAAATGGATAGAGCTTCAGAAAGAAACAGAAAATTTCAAAGTAACCTGAAGGTTCAATAACCTTTACTCAATAAGTGATAGAACTAGGAGGCAGAAATCAATGAGAATAGAGTAGAATTGAACACCATGCTTTTCAAGTACCCACGGAACACTTAGCAAAACAGACCACATTCTAGGCCATACAGTAACTTTCAATGGAAAAATTAAGTGAAAAGGGTTTAAGTCATACAAGGTATGTGCTGTGACCACAAAACCATCAAATTAGAAATTAATAGCAAAAACAGCTGTAGGTGGTACTCAAACATTTGGGAACTAAGTAACACAAATCTAAATAACCCCAAATGAAATAATAAAAAAATAGAAAATACTTTGAACTGAATAAAAATAAAAGTACAACATATAATAAATTGTTGAATGTCCCTACAACTATGCTTAAACACACATTTTTAGCACTTGATGTCTATATTAGATGAGTCTCAAATCAATTACTTTGACTTCTATTTTAAGAAATTAGAAAAAAGAAGAGAACACAAAACCCAACGGATGCAGAGGAAAGAAAATCATAAATATCTCCTTTGGTCTGATTGTTTGGGTCTCTCCAAAATTTGTATGCTGAAACTAAATCACAGAGGTGATATAATTAGGAGGTAAAGCTTTTTGAAAGTAATTAGGTCATGGGGACTAAGTCCTTATGAATTGATTAATATCTTTATATATGAGATCTCAGAAAGCCTGTTCAGCCCTTCTGCCATGTTAGCACACAAGGAAATATATTTCATCTATGAATCATGAAGTGGTCCCTCAACACACATCAAGCCTAACAACACCTTGATATTGAACTTTGTAACTTCCGGAATTGTGAAAAACCAATTTATTTGTTTTTAAACTACCCAGGCTATAATTTTTTTAAAAAACAATGGGCCTAAAGGACCAAGATATCAAAAATAAAATTAGTAAAACATTAAAACAGTAAGGAAAGTCAATAACACCAAACACTTTGAGATCAATAAAAGCAATAAACCTCTATCTTGCTAGACTGCCCAGGAAAAAGAGAAAATACAAATTACTAACTTCAGAAATGAGTAATGTGACATTATTGCAGATTGTACAGATGCTACAAAAAGGCAGTATTACAGAACTTATGTTAATAAGCATGACAAATAAAATTCACAAATTCCTTGAAAAATGAAAATTATCAAAACTCAATCAAGAATAACCTGCATTACCCTAGACCTATAAAATAAAAGAGTCATAGGAAAACCTTTCTACAAGGAGAATTCCAGGTACAGCCAGATAGGCTGGTGAATTCTACCAAACATTTTAGAAAGAAATGATGGTATTCTACACACTACAATTCTTACCCCTTCCCCCAAATAAAAAGAAAAACTATATCCCAACCAATTCTATATTGTTAGCATTGCCCTGAACTGCAACTCAACAGTAATATTACAAACAAAAAAACTCCCTCATAAGCATGGATATAAAAATTCAATTTGTGAAGCAACTGAGATGTCCTCCAATAGGTAAATGGATAAAATGTGCTACAGGCATGCAATGAATTATTACTTAGTGCTAAAAAGAAATGAGTGATTAAGTCATTAAAAGACATGAAGAAAACTTAAATGTATATTACCAAGTGAAAGATGCCAATCTGAAAGGCTACTTACTATATGATTTTAAGTACATGACATTCTGAAAAGAATATTTACTATATTCATACACTATGAATATAGTAAAAAAGATCAGTGGCTGCCAAATGTTTGGGAAGGGCAGGAAAAGGGCACATAGGCAGAACACAGAATATTTTTTAAGTAGTGGAAATCTATGGTACTATAATGATGTATACATATTATTACATTTTTATCCAGACTGACAAAATGTACATGAATAAGAGTGATGTAAACTATGACTTTGCATGATTATGCTTTTTCAACGTAGCTTTCTTCATTGTAATAAGGGTACCAGCCTGGCGAGGAATATTGATAAAGAGGAAGACCATACCTGTGTGAGGGCAGGGTATATGGAAAATCTCTGTATCTTTCCATCAATTTTGCTGTGAACATAAAGCTGGACTTCTACGGGGCCATCCACTGCATGCTGGGCAGGTGTGAGAGGTGTTTCTGGTCCATCTCCCTGGAGCAATTCTATGAGCGGCCCTAAGACATCCCCTCTGCACTCTGTGAAACCCTAAGTCTCAAGGGCCACTTGTATTTGAGACCAGGACCCATACACCCACCTCGCCGGGGCAAATCATCCCCAGCCATGATGCAGGGAAACAGGTCCAGAGAGGGTAAAGGATTTGTTCAGGGGAACCCAACCATTCAGTGGCAAGGCTGGAAGAGAAACACAGGTCTTGATCATTTACTGAGCACTTACTGTGTACCAGCCCTCACATAGAGAGTACAACAAACAAAGAGAAAAGGGAAAGGAAAGAAGAAAAGAAAATAATTAGAAATTAACAGGCTGGGCCGGGCACGGTGGCTCACATCTGTAATTCCAGCATTTTGGGAGGCCAAGGCTGGCAGATCACTTGAGGTCAGGAGTTCAAGACCAGCCTGAGCCACATAGGGAGCTATCATCTCTATAAAAATATTAAGAAAATTAAAAATTAAATAAAATAAATAAAATAAGATAAAAACAGAAGATGAAGATGCACATCCC